CTGTTTCAAAAAATAAAAATCCTGAAACTTGAGGGCTACAGAAAAGGGAAGTGCAGATATTGAAGCTTCACTGAGTGAGGAGGGCAGATACCACCCCTTTCTCCAACCACTTCTCAGCTTGAACATAATCGAGTCCTACTTCCTCAGCCTGGAAGCTCACCTAGAGTTGGCTCAATTTCTGTGGCGATCTTCCATAAAGGTGGTGGTGGTGGTGGTGAGGTGGAGATAGAGGTGGAAGTGATGGTGGTGCAGGTAATGGTGGTGGAGGCGGAGTTGGAGGTGGAGGTGATGGTGGTAGAGATGGAGGCTACAGTGGGGGTGGAAGAGATAGTGGAGGTGATGGTGAAGGCAATGGTGGAGGTGGAGGTGATGGAGGAGGTGGAGGCGATGGTGGTGGAGGTATAAGTGATGGTGAAGGCAATGGTGGAGGTGGAGGCGATGGTAGAGGTGAAGGTGATGATGGTGGAGGTATAAATGATGGTGAAGGCAACGGTAGAGGTGGAGGTGATGGTAGAGGTGGAGATGATGGTTGTGATGGTGGAAGAGTGGTGGATGTGGAGGTGATGGTAGAGGTGGAGGTGATGAAGATGGAGGTGGAGGTGATGGTAGAGGTAATAGTGGAGTGGAGGCAATGGTGAAAGTGGAGGTGGAGGTGATGGTGAAGGTGCAGGTGATGGAGGTGGAGGTGATGGTGGAGGTAATAGTGGAGTGCTGGAGGTGGAGGCGATGTGAAAGTGGAGGTGATGGTGGAGGTAATAGTGGAGTGCTGGAGGTGGAGGCAATGTGAAAGTGGAGGTGATGGTAGAGGTGGAGGTGATGATGGTGGAAGTGGAGGCAATGATGGAAGTGGAGGCTATGGTGGAGGTGGAGATAGTGATGATGGTAGTGGAGGTGGAGGTGATAGCAATGGAGGAGGTGGAGGTGATAGTGGATGTGAAGGTGATGGTAGAGGTGAAGGTGTTGCAGGTGATGGTAGAATTGGAGATAATGGCAGAGGTGGAGGTGATGGAGGTAACAGTGGTGAAGGTGGAGGTAAGGTACTGGAGGTGGAGGTGATGGAGGTGGAGGAGGTAGTGATGGTGATGGAGGAGGTGCTGGAGGTGATGATGGCTGTGACGGTGATGGTAGAGGTGGAGGTGATGGATGTAGTGGAAATGATGCTGGAGGTGGAGGCAATGGTGGAAGTGAAGGAGGTAGTGATGGTGATGGAGGTGATGGTGGATGTGAGGGTGATGGTAGAGGTGGAGGTAATGGATGTAGTGGAAATGATGCTGGAGGTGGAGGCGATGGTGGAGGTGGAGGAGTTAGTGATGGTGCTAGTGGACGTGGAGGTGATGGTGATGGAAGAGGTAGTGGAAGTGAAGGTGATGGTGGTGATGCTGGTGGAAGTGGAGGTGATGTGATGGTGGAGGTGATACTGATGGTAGAGGCGACAGTTGTGTTTCCATGGGGCGGGGTGGTGATGATGACCATGATGACAGTGTGGGATGTGCTCAGTGAAGATGGGACTGAGGCGGGGAGGAGAGAAGTCATAGAAGACTAGGGCAGAGAGGTCTTGGGGGCTTGGAGTTCACTCCCGAGAGCTGGGACAGCAGGGGTTGGAGCCATACCTGCACCGGCTTTGTCGTCAGGGTCCCCAGGGGTGTCTGTGGAGTGGAGCCCCCACACTGGGAAGGACTCAGTGTCATTTAGGAACACTGGGAAGAGGTAAGACCAGGTGTGTTGGGAAGTGGCAGGAGCTGGGGAGGTGGAGGGAGGGAGGGGCCAAAGCTGCCGACTCTCCTGCTTCCTACTTGCAAGGCAGCTTCCCCAGGGTGGCGTCCACGCACCTGGGCTGACGTGACTGGGCCTCTGTTGGGGGCTGGCCCGTGCCTGGTGCCTGTGTTCATATTGTCCACTCGAAGGCTCCTGAGAGTTCACCCTTCCTGGGGAGCCTGCTGGGATTCCTTCTCCACAGAGTCTAACCCTCTCCTTCCCTCTGGCCTCGTCCTTGCTGCCCCAACTTGCCACTGTGCCTCTGACAGCGTTGAGGCCCTGTGCCCAGCACTGTGAGCAGACAGCTTGAGGTACCTGGAGTTTGTGGAAGAAGTCCTGGATTTGCCACCAACTGGCTCTGGGACCGTGGGCAGTACTGGTCCCTTCCATGTGCCTCAGTTTACCATCCAGCCAAGGAAGCCAGCTGGATGGCCTTCAAGTAGGGTGCCAGGAGTCCCACTCTGGTCAGGAGTGGAACTGAAAGCTTTGGCAACAGCTCCAGCAGTCAGCTGAGTTGTAAGCACAGTGTGGCAGAGCTGGGCAGGCCGGAGGGGCCCCAGGAAGCCCCACGCCCCCTAGGAGACAGCAGACCATCCTCCTTTCCTGCCTGGTTGGCATAGAAACAGCCTCCTCCTCTGGGCTGAGAAGGCCTGGGCTGAGTCATGGGCCCAACTGGGAACATGACAAGGCCTCCCTGCAGGACAGGGCCCTGGGCCAGGCTCAGCAGGAGGCAGGGTGGACACAGAAGGGGTAGGGGAGGAGCCAGCACCACCTCCCAGAAGGAAGGATCCACATTTGGGGTCAGGACTGGGAAAATGGCAGGAGCTGGCCCAGGAGTGGAGGCCCTTGCATACCAGTGCAGCCTGACCTTGGGGACCCTTTGGCCAGCACCGTCCCAACCCTGTCCTGGGCCTGGGGGTTACCCTGGCTCTTCTCAAGCCAAGGTGGCACTTTGTTGAAGCTTATAGCATATGTGGAGGCCCTGCCCCAGCTGGCCTGGAAAAGAAGGCTGTGCTCCCTCCAGGGGGAGGCTCAGGGCTGATGACCCCCTGCAGGGCCTCCAGAGGGAGCGGGGCAGAGGAGGAGGAGTGGCACTGCCCACCCCAGCCTCATCAGCCCAGAGCCCAGCCCAGCCTGCCACAAGGCTCTAGAAATTGCTGTACCTTCTCCCACCCACAGGAGGCCATGGGCATAGGGTGGTGGGGAGGGCCACGGCATCCCAGGCTCTCAGCTTTCCTCCAGGGTCCAGCCTCCTTCCCCAGGGCAAGAAGTCACTCTGGCTTCCCCTGCCAAGCTAGCCTGTGTCCTGTGCCTCCCTGGACCCGCTCCCCCAAATGCTGGCAGTCAGGGACAAACCTGGAGAAAGGGAGGGTGCCACCTGCCCTCAGCCCTGTCCCAGTCTCCCCCACCCAGCAGCATGAGCATGTGGTGGCACCTGGGAGTCCCCATCCGTCCCCAGGAATAGTCATTGCCATTTCCACCAGAGGTGGGCTTTATTACTGTCACCATGACCTGAAAAGAGGAAGACAGCACCAATTCCCACACCTCCTAGGCGCTGTGCACCAACAATTGTCTTCCAGGATTAGCCTGGAGCTGTCCCCACCCGCAGGGCCAGAGCACCCACAGGTGCTGGGCTGACCCAGGAGACTCCCTACTGCTGACTCCGCTTGCCTTGCATCTACATAGGCCTCTACTACTCTTCCACACAATTAGTGTCTTAAATATATGTACATGTATATATTTCGTCCCAACTGTCAGTTAAAATAAAACCGACCACTTCTTACAGTCTCTTCACAGTAGCTGTGCAGAAGACAACAAATCCAGTGTTGATAGAGAGCTCAGGGCAGGCTGCCCACCCAGCAAAGGGAAGTCCTTCCCCCATGGAAACCACTGGGGGGACCAGTGCCTCAGCCACACCTCTGTGCTTGGGCGGCAGTGTGGCTGCCCATCTGCGGGGCACCGGCTTGGTTTGGGCCTTGCCATATGCTAGACACACACACACACACACACACACACACACACACACACACACACACGATTATGGAGCACATCACATTGAACTCTTGCAGAGGTGGGGCTGGGGCCCAGGACAATCAGAAGCAGGGCCCCACCCCCACCTGTCTCAAGACCAAAGCCATCCAGGGCATCTGAGGCTGGGACATCACCCAGAGGCGCTAGGCTCCCAGGCTGGCACCCAGCATACCAGGAGCCCAGGGCAAGTGGGAGATGCGCTAGGGGTGGTCATTCACTCCAGACCAGGCTGACGAATAAATATGACATCCAGTGTTGTCAGGAGAAGAGAAAAAAGGTAGACTTGGCTGGACTCTGTCATCAAGGCCGTTGCCGGTCAGAGGAAACAGCCCAGGTGGTCTCCAGGCATCCATGTGACTCTGCACCTGCTGACCCCCAGAGGCCAGTGAGGTTCTGGTGGCAAGATCTGCTTCGTGATTAGGTGGGCAAAGCAGGGCACGACCTGAACCAGTGACATGTACAAGGGGGTACAAGGGGCGTGGTCCTCACATTCTACTCATGATTGGAGCGTTAGCCTCCCAAGGCTGCGGATGGAGGCTGGGGTGCTGTGACTCCCACTCCTCGCCTGCCCTTACCCCTGCTGCCATGGCCACTTTCACCCACACCTCACCCAGGAAAAGGCCCACAAACCCCGCTCCTGGCAAACAGGGCAACCTTTGGCCCCTTCTCAGTCAGTGCATGGCAGTGCCCACAGCTCCAGGGAGACCCCTAGCGGGTAGAGTGACCTTCAAAGTGAGGCCCACAGTGGCCCAGGCCCCACTCTGGGGATGCCCAGAGACTTCGTAGACCTGCACTCAAGCAGGGAAGCACGTGGCTGGGCAGCCACCAGCAGACATCTGGACACCTCGGGAGGCTCCTTCTGGGTCTCGAATCCAGTTCTTGGCGGGGTGCCGTGGCTCACACCTATAATCCCAGCACGTTGGGAGGTGGAGGCAGACGGATCACCTGAAGTCAGGAGTTTGAGACCAACCTGACCAACATGGAGAAACCTCGCCTCTACTAAAAATACAAAATTAGCTGGGCATGGTGGTGCGTGCCTGTAATCCCAGCTACATGGGAGGGTGAGGTAGGAGAATCACTTGAACTCGGGAGGTGAAGTTGCAGTGAGCCAAGATTGGGCTATTGCACTCCAGCCTGGGAAACAAGACCAAAACTCCATATCAAAAAAAAAAAAAAAAAAGAAAGAAAAGAAAAGAAAAAGAAAAAAAGAAAAAAGGAGGAAAGAAAAAGCAAAAAGAATCCAGTTCCAAATTCCCACTCTCTGACCAAAGTTACAGCATAGTCATGACTGCACGCTCCCATGGACTCACGTCCCACCCGAGAGATAATGACGCCAAAGCCACTCAGCTTCTAGCTGGCTACCCCTGCTGCCTTAGGATCCCTGCTGGGGCTGCACCCCACCCCCCAGACACCAGCTGTGCCCAGATGGCCCCTGCTGGCACTCAGTGTGCCCCAGGCCTTCCTGGCAGGGGTTCCTGCTGCTGCCCCCCAGGAGTGTCCTGTTTCCTCCCAGCACCCCATCAGGACACACACCAACTTTTCTGACATGTGAATAATTCACCTAGTGAGGGGCCAGGCTCAAGAAGACCTCCCGAAGCCTGCCAGAGAGGTGATCAGGAAAGTCCCAGATGGGAGGTGGATGTGTCATCTCACACGGAGAAACCAGGGCAGGGCCATGTGCTGGCTGGACACCCCACAGAACTTGGCTGGAGGGGACGGGAGAGGAAGCCTGGGGGCTGGAATGAGCTGGGCAGTGAGGGCGAAGGACAGGCAAGGTGGGAGGAGGGCTGCCCAAGTCACCCGAGTCTAAGGCCAAGTTCCAGGAGGTGGCAGCATGCTCTCTGCCAGGCGGGTTGAGCCATCCAGCCTGAGCTGGGACTTCCACCTGGCCAGGCTTCACACCCCATGCTGTTGTCCCACCTGGGAGGGCCCCATCCCTTCCCTTCCACCGCACCCTCAGGATCCGCAGGGAGGCATCACACCAGAAGGGACTTGATGAAGCCACAGTGAAACTTGCGGACGTGGCGGTACAGGTCCCCAGACTGCGTGAACCGGCGCTCACACCACCGGCAGGCATGCGGCTTCTCGCGAGTGTGCACCACGGCGTGCCGGCTCAGGTTGTGGGAATACTGAAAACTTTTGCCACACTGCACACACGTGTAGGGCTTCTCACCCGAGTGTGTCCGCTCATGCCTCTTCAGCGTGTATGTGCACGAGAAGGTCTTCCCGCAGAGCGGGCAGGTGGGTGCCGTGCCGTCCGGGGAGAGCCGGGTTCGTGTGCTGTCCCGCTCACGGAAGTGGGCGCTGAGGTGCAGCTGCAGCGTGTGGGAGCTGGGGAACAGCTTGCTGCACAGCGGGCAGATGCAGAGGGGCCCGCCAGGCCCCAGCTCGTCCTCACTTGCCACCCGCCCTGCATGCAGCTCCAGCTCCAGCTCCAGCTCCCGGCTGCCCTCCCCGCTGACAGGTAGCGGCCGCAAGCCCACCACCAGGTCCTTGGCTGCAGGAACAGGAGGTGGCTTCGGGGGGCTGTGGGGGCTCCTAGAGCTGCTCCTGTCTTCCTGTTCAGACAGTGAGTCCCGCTCATCCTTCACCAGTGGCTGGACCCCTGGTTGCATCCGGCCGCAGAGGGGTGCCGGGAAGATGCAGGGTGGGTGGACCCGCTCCTGCCTTGGGCCAGGCTTCAGTGACAGGTCCAGGGCCTGGTCTGACTCTTCTGGGACCTGGCAGGAAGGAGGCCCAGATGCTCGAGGAGGGAGGGCAGCCTTGACCCCAAATGGGGGGAGCTTGGCCTTCTGGGCAGCTGGGCAGAGGTCAGTGGTCCAGACAGGCCAGGTGCACGGTGGCTGAGCACGCTCTGCCCCAGGGGCAGGGTTCCCCGGGTCCAGCCTTCGGTCCTTCTCCCGGAGCCTGCCCTTGCAGACCTTGACGATGTCATACATGTGCAGGTAGCTGGCGGCCGCCAGGACGTCCTCGACAGGCAGGCTGCGCAGGTCCAGGCGGCCCTCGTACATGAAGTCCAGTAGGCGGCCGAAGGCGGGCGCCGTGACGATGTCGCCGTTAAGCCGCACCGTGTCGCGACTGCCCGCGGGCCGATCCCTGTAGAAGAGATGGAAGTAGACGCTGCACGCGGCCAGCACGGCACGGTGGGCCGGGAAGCGCGCGTCGCCCACCAGCACGGTGCAATCGCACAGGAAGCCCAGCTCGCGCTGCTGCCTCAGGCGGCCCAGCAGCCGTCCGCCGTGCTCGGGGAACTCCATGCCGCCGCCGTCATCACCTGGGCACAAATGGGAACGCCTGTCAGCGCGCCTGGAGACGCCCGCGGAGCACCCTTCCCGGCGGCAGGCAGCGCGGGAGTGACGCGCCAACCGCCGGTCCAGAGCCGCCGCGGGCACCTGCCCCGAGCAGGAAAAACTCGATCGAAAGTAAACAGTAGCGGCTCCGACGCGGGGGCGGGTCCCGGGACTCGGGCGCAGGGACGTGAGAGGCGCAAACCTGCGCGCGTCCCCGCCCGGGCGCTCCTGAACTTCACTCCCGGGCGGCCGCCCGCCCGCTCCCGGCGTCCCTGACGCCCCGGTGGCTGCGCCTCCGCCGCCCGCCCCGCGCCTCCGCACCTCCGCGCCGCCTCCAGCTGCCGCCCGGCCCACCAGCTGCCGCCGCCGCCGGCCCCATTTATGGCAGCGCGGCCGCGGGGAGCGGGCCGGCGGGCGGGGCGGGCGGAGCCGGGAGCCCGCCCCCCGCGCTCACCTCCGCCACCCCGAGCTCTTCTCCGGTCGCCGCCCGGCCGCGCGCCCTCCCCAGTGCGGCCCCGGCGCGCGTGGAGCTGCGGGTGGCGCGCCCCGGCCGCGAGGGCGCGGGGACGGGGAGGGCGCCGGGCGGGGCGCGCTCCAACTTGGCTGGCCCAGCGCCGCCCGCCGCTCGCCCCGCCCCGGAGAGAGCGAAACTCGGAGCTGGGGCCGGAGGAGGCGGGCCGAGCGACTTCCCGGAGCGGCGGAACCGCTGAGGTCACCCTCGCCCCGCTCCCCTGTCTGCCCCACCCGGCCGGGCACCGCGCGCAGCCAGCGGGGGCGTTAGGGTAAAAGGGGGGTTAAGGGCACTGCGCGGGGGCTGGGGGTCTCTCGCGATACTTGCCTAGTTGGCCTGGGTCCCCCACCTCCCAGCCTCTCCCGGCATGGGGTCCTTACTGCGCCTGTCTGCAAAGGAAACACTTTCGAGGGTCCGCTTCAATCCCGGCCCTTGTTGGGCAGTCAACCCAGGGCACACCCGGGACCCCGGCCTCCCGCCACCTCGCAGGGCGCCGGCCTTGGGATGGGGTTAGAGGGTGCGTGGATGGCGACTCGTTCATTTCACAAAGATGACACTTCCTTCTTCCTTGAAAGCCTCCTTTTGAATTTAATTCATCTGGGACCCTCTTCTAAACATTCAAACAGGATCTCGATCCTGAATCGGGGACTTCCACCCTCTCCACAGACCCAGCCCAGCGTCTATGGGGCACCCAGCGCAGAGAGGCACGGAAAGCGGGCACCTCCCAGCAGACATGGTGGGATGGGGGGCAAATGCCATAGCGGAGGGAGTGGGAAGCCCTCCGGAGCCCAGGGCAGGCAGGAACGAGTTCAAACAGGAGACTCGGGCCAGGGGCTGGCATGGAAGTGGGGTAGGGAGGAGTGGAGAGGAGTGTTCCAGGGCAAAGAAGCATTGAAACCACCTGAGGGGGACATCTGGTTCCGGGAGAGGGAAATCGACAGAGAAGTGGAGAGTGTGTTTGGCGGGGTTAGGGTCCCTCCCCGGCAGGTGGAGCCTTTTCCCAGGGGCATAACCTGGGCCGCCCTTGACTGAGCAGGTTTGAAGTTACCCTAGACCACCGGATCATCTTCACAACGGTCCCATTAACTAGATGCTCTTATTTTTATACCTTTTTGGTGAGAGAGGTTAGGTAAGGTACCCAGGGCCATGTATCAGGCAGCAAGTCCCTGGATTCGAATTCAGCCAGTCTCCTGCACTGCCTTGCAGCCCGGGCAGTGGAGGAGGTGGTGGCGGAGTCACCCCAGCCAAGGCTGTGCAGTGGGCTGGGGGTGGTGCTGGAAGAGGGGCGGGATGACAAAGGACAGAACCTGGCCGGGTGTGTGTGTGCAGGAGGGCTGGAGCCCACAGTAGGTTCTGCGGTCTGGGAAGGCAGGCCGCGTTGTTATACTAAATATCATTCCTTGTTTCACCGGATGTCCTGCGTTTTTATTTCCTAAACCTGGCAACCAAAGCTTGGACCCCTGGAATCACACTGCACTCACAGCCACTGAGACCAGCTTAGGGACAGCAGAGCCCTGGCTCCCATCACCTCCGGCTGTCCACCCTGAGGACCCCTTCCTGAGGAAGGCCAAGCCCCTTCCCTCCACCCATTTAAATAATGCCCCAGCCACCAGCAGGAATAGCTGAATTCAGATAAGTTAAGGGTGAACCTAGATGTGACTGCTCCCTTCTGGCCCTGCCTGGATCAGAGCCCTGCCCCGGCCCCTCCGAGCCTTGAGCAGGACCAAACCCTTAACCTCTTTGAACCTCAATAATCTTCATCTGCAAAATGGGAATCAGACGGCATCCCGGGGTCTTTGTGAAAATTAACTACAGGCCCAGGCACTCAGCAAGCTCTCAGGCTCTGGAATGCTCTTCCCCAAAGAACTCTTCAATGGCTTCTCTTAAATCCTGTCTCTGCTCAGACCCCACTCCTCAGTCCTGCACAGCTTAGCTAAGCTCCCTCCCAACCCCTTGGACTGCCTCCCCTCCCCTCCAGCACGTCCCGGTGTTCTGTGATTGAGGGATGTTGAGGGATGCCCCATCTCCCGCCGAAAGGGAATGAGCTGCTTTGTTCACTTGGTGCTTAAAAGTTGGCTGGATGCAAAGTGGGTGTTTGGTAAATGTTTGTTGAGTGAATGCATGACAGTTGCCTCTCTGAGTGGTAACTGATGCTCCCACAATCCCTAATCCTGAATCTTCTGTGGCAACAGTCCAGCCCTGTCTGCCCACACCTGCAGCCCCTGAGCCTTCAGAGCAGGTGGGGTGGCCTGCCATGCTGGGGTTGTGGGCCACAGGCTGACGCTCCCCACTCCAGGCTGGGAGCAAGCACCTCAGCCTGACCTGCCTGGCTGCTCGACAAGAGAGCCTGGGACACTTGAGGGGGTTGTGGTACACAGGGAGGGTCAGGATGCTGCCTGCAGGAGCCTGGGGTAGGACCTGGAAGGTGCGGCTCAGCTAGGAAAGGGGTAGAGGACGGGGAGGGGACAGTGGGAGAGAAGCTCCTTGTACCTCTCAGGTAGGAGGGTCTGTGTTCAAGTCCCTCCTGCCCCACACTGATTCGGGAGGGGGCTGTCCCAGGCAGCTCTGAGTTGGTGCTGGGAGCCTGGCCAGCCTGCCATCTCAGAGCCCCTGTGGCTGGCTGGTCTCAAGCGCAGGAATGACAGGACACCGGCACACAGCCACCGTCTCGGTGGTGGTGGTGGCTCAGGCGGGCCCTCTCCAGACACAAGCAGCCATCTGGCCTGGGAGCTCTCCTGAGGCCCCGCCCTGCAGCTGCTGCTGGGCCCTACACAACCCAGGGCCCTTGAGTCCTGCCCCCGGCCAGCAGCTGTAGAAGGTGACAGGGCAGGAGGCCCCTGAGCCCCTGAGCGGGCCGCCCCTGGTGCAGCAGTTTTCGTTGGAAACATCTGGCCGTGGAGCGCCTCAGCAGTCCCAGCAGCAGCCGTGGGGCTGGGGCCTCTCCTGGCCATTCTGTCTGGGGTGTGCGAGGGGGTGCTCTTGAAGAGAGGACTCTGCTTTCACTCCGGAAGGCCAGAGGAGAGGGGGCTGGCCCTGCCCACGGGGAGATCCCTGTCTTTGGGGAGGGCAGCTCATGCCAAGACGAAGACAGGACTGGAGCATGGGGCCCACAGTGGGTTGCAGGCACCAGTGGGTACCAGGGCACCCGGCTGGGAAGGCTGGGAGGCCTCCTTGGAGACAGCCAGTGTAGAATAAGCAGGTCCCACCATTTCAAGAACAGCTTGCCTTTTCCATGTGAGGGTACCCTGCTGTCTCCCACATCCCCTACCCTTGGTCACTTGCTGGCCCCATCTCCCGGCCCTCTCATCCTCTGCTTCCTCCCTGAACTCCCTCCTCCATCCTTGCATGGCAGAGCCCAGGATGGTGGGTGGATACCAGGAACTCTTCCTGGGGGAGCAATGGGCAGGTGTGACCTTCCCAGAGGGAGCCCCAGGTGGCCCATGGTGCAGGTTTGCTGGGTGAGAGACAGACACCAGCCAGGCTCTGGGGGCAACCCGTGGGTCAGGCATTTTATTCAGGTGGCACAGACCACTGGGCGTCTGACTTGGCCCCCTCGAGGTAGGGCCTTTCCTGGGGTTACAAAGTCTGAGCTGTGAAGGAGCAGAGGTGCCCAGGGGAGAGGCAGGAATGGGGAGTCCCCTGCCTGAGGAGCGAGTGCCCCCATGCATGGGGAGAGTTTTCTTTTCTTTCTTTTTCTTCCTTCCTTCCCTCCTGCCCTCCCTCATTCCCCCCTTCCTCCTTCCTTTTCTCCCTTCCTTCCTTCCTTTTCCCTCCCTCACTCCCTTCCTCTCTTCCTCACTTCCTTCCCTCCTTCCTTCCTTTTCTTTCTCTCTTTCGACTGAGGCTTGCTCCATCGCCCAGCCTGGAGTACAGTGGTGAGATCTCTGCTCACTACAAGCTACACCTCCTAAGTTCAAGCAATTCTCCTGCCTCAGCCTCCCGAGTAGCTGGGATTACAGGCACGTGCCACCTCACCTGGCTACTTTTTTGTATTTTTAGTAGAGATGGGGTTTCAGCATGTTGGACAGGATGGTCTCAAACTCCTGACCTCATTATCTGCCTGCCTCAGCCTCCCAAAGTGCTGGAATTACAGGTGTGAGCCACCGCGCCTGGCCTGAGAGAGTCCTTTAAGGAGTGTCCTCTCGGTCAGCCCCAGGAGGCAGGGATGGAGCCCCGGTTTTGGCTGCAGACTCTGTCCTGAGCGCTCAGGGCCGAACCTGCTGCCTCTGTCTGCATTTCCTCTGCCACCCGTCTCCACCGCCAGCTGAACTCGCTCTGGCTGAAAATAAAAATGCTCCCCCACTCCAATACTTAGCAGCCTCAGGAAGGTAACTCACAAGAGTCCCACTTTTACAAAAGGGTTATTATGAACTCTGGGCCTCTGGAATGGGGGAGGGGCAGTTGTTGGAGGAACTTCTGGCTAGGAAGGGGTCGGGTGGGAGTCACCCGCAGTGTCCTGTGAGTGTGCAGGAGAAAGGGGTCTGTGTCTCACTCACTCCATACGGGGCCATCTGCCTCCCAGTGGACCTCCGACTGGGTTTCGGGCCCCACCAAGTCCATCCAGAGGGGAGGGTCCTGGCTTTCAGCCGTCACAGCCCATCCTAGACACCACCCCTCCTCTGGCTGGTGTCTGCTCCCAGCTCAAGATGGGACCCAAGCAAGGTGTGCCCCTCTTCTCCCAGACCCCAGCCAAGCCCCCCTTTTGCGAGTGTAGCTGTTGGCGCCTAGGTGAACGCTTGAGTCCCCTCCGAGCCTTCCTGCTCCTTGGAAGCCCACTCCAGCTGACCTGCCGTCCTGGTACCCTCCCGCATTTCCCCAGAGGCACAAGGTCCCGGGATTGGGCCTTTTAGAACACTCTCAGCCTCCCCTCCACGCCCCCAAGAGTGGGGCAGCGCACACGTGGGGCACAGCCTTCAAGTCAACCTAATCCACCCCCGGCAGTGGAGGCGGAAGTCCGGGATTCCTTCCTGACCGGTCTCGGGCCCGTCCTAGTGGGGTCACGGCAGAGTGAGCCCAGAAGCGCCGGGTCACTTTATAGCTAGGGAAACTGAGGCCAGAGAGGGCGTGGCCCCGGCCGGGCTGGCTGGCGGCCGGGCTCCGTTAGCCGTCCAGCCCAGCCCCGGGCCCCAGGCCGCAGGGGCCGCCCCTCCGCCCCGCCGCGCGCTCCCCGGGCGCACTCCGCCTTAGCCGCGGGCCGCGCGGTGGGGGCCCCCCGGGCGGCGGAGGCGGATGTGGGCGGGCGGCTCCGGGCGCGGGGCGGGGAGAGGGCGGGCCGGAGGCGGCGGCAGGACCGAGCGCGGCGGGCGGCCGGCCCAGCGCAGCCAGCGCGGCCCGGAGGACGCGATCAGGCGGCCGAGCACCGAGCGCCGGGCACCGGGCGGCGGCGGCACGCGAGGCCCGGCCTCGAGCAACACCCGCCCGCCGCGGCCTCCAGCCCGGCCCCGCCCAGCCCGGCCCGCGGGGATGCGGAGCGGCGGGCGCCGGAGGCCGCGGCCCGGCTAGGCCCGCGCTCGCGCCCGGACGCGGCTGCCCGGTGAGTGCGCTCCCGCCGCGGCCGCCCGGGCCCGGACTTCCTCCCCGCGGGCCGGGCTGCTTTGTTCGCGGCCGGTCGGGCCGCGGCGCCGCCGGAATGGAGGAGCGGGAGCAGGAAGTGGCCGAGCGGCCTGGGCGGGGAGGGCGCGCGGGCCCGGCCGCGGGAGGGCGGCTCCACGCCGGGCGCCGGGGGCGCAGGTTGCCGGCCCCGGCCTCCCGCGTGACCTTGGGGAGGCCGCTCCGCCGGGCGAGGCCGGGGCCCGGGACGAGGGGCACTGCCGGGCCTGGGGCTCGGGCTCGGGGCGCCCCTGCGGGCCGTGGGGCTCCCCGGGCGCGGGGCCAGCGAGGCCGCCGGCCGGCGGAGGTGCCCGGGGGTTGGGAGAAAGGCTCGCCCCGGCCGGCCTTCAGGTTTGTGGGAGGGCCCCGGAAGGAGACTTCATCTCCCACGGACAGAAAGTTGTCTGCGGTGGCGGGGTACCCAGGCCAGCCACAAAGGACTGTGACCCTCACGGGCCCCGGAACTGCTTCCTGTCTCGGGTGGGCCCTGGAGGTCCTGCCCGCCCATCCCAGAGGTGGGGGGCTGGAGGGAGCTGGGGCTCGCCCCTCCGATCGAGTATCCCGGGGCGCTGGCGAGCTTGGTCCTGGCGGGGCGGCCCCTGAGTGCCGCTGTGGTGAGCGGGTGGGCTTGGACCCCCGCCCCGTGGCCAGAGCCCGCCCCGCATTCACTCCTGGGTCGCTCAGCCTCAACCCGGGCGGCTGCTCTGGACCGCTTCGAGCCCCGCATCCACGCAGAGGGCGGAGCGCCTCGTGCGGGCCTGCTCCCGCTCCCACCGTGTGGACTTCACACCAGGGTTCTGGAGGCAGACGGAGGAGACCTTTCGGAACAGAGTAGTTTTATTTTTAAGTTGTGATCTTAATAATAATAGTAGCAAGAACATGTGCTTACGGTAAAGGCAGGTACACAGGCTGTGGACGTCGGGGTCCCTCCGCCCCCACAGGCAGCCCTGTGCCGGCCTGGCGTACACGTTTCTGTGCAGACGTGCACCCCCTGTGTGTGCGCAGATGTATTTTTACACATGGCTCTGGACAGCTGTCTGACTCTGTCAGCAGCAGGCCTTGGAGGGGCTCCGGCCCGGGCGGGCTGGGGGTGGGGGACATCCAGAGGCCTTTGAGTCCAGCCCTCTGCCTCCAGGCCACGCCCACTCGGTGTCGTCAGAGCCCCCTGTGCCCGAGGCTGGCCCGCTCAGGAGCTCAGCCCTCGGAGTCCTGCGGTGCCGTCCTGGGGTCTGGCCTGCTTTTCCGTCCTGCTGAGCACTTGCGACTTGCGGCACTTCCCTCTTTGGGCAAGGTGTGGTCTTCCCTGTCTTGGCATTAGACACAAAGCAGTGGGCCTTCCCGCCATTCTAAATTTAGCTTGAGACCATCAGTGCAAAGCAACCCTCTGGGTTTCCAGCCGGTGCCTCAGGAGGACAGAAAGGTGGCCTGGTGGGAGGGAGAGCATCTAGGCTGGCTGTGGAAAGACCCATGTTGGGATCCATTCCACAGAGGTCGCCAGGGGTCTCTGCCTGGCCTAGAGGTCCCAGAGAGGACCCTCCTCCCCTCAGGAAGGCCCCTCTGGAAGGGTAGCAGAAGACTGTTCACAGGAAGAGCATGCCACATGCTGTTTCTGGGGATGCTTGGAGTTGGTGGTGTGGGAACTGGGTTTTGAGGGATGCCTAGGAGTTCATCTATCAGAGGGGAAGTGAAGAAGCCATACAGGATCAATGGCCAAAGTGTGCTCAGGTGAGGGCTGGCTGGTGGGCACTGCAGGTGGGCACTGCTGGAGGGCACTGGCCAGTGCTCCTTCACTTACTTGCTGCCTCCCAACTGCTGTAATTACGGGTCTATAACCACCCTGGACTGGGTGCCCCTCACTGACGGACTTGTCTGAACCTCTCATTCTCCAGCGCCCAGCAGTGGGCCTGGCACAACGCCCGGTACACATTGGTCAAATGAATGAACCAGATTCAGACCTACAGGGGCACTGTGGTTTAGGAGGGGCCTGGGGTTTCTCCCGGGAGGATTTTGGGATTGCCCTGGAGGGCTCTGGGCTCCGGTTTGCGCCAGCAGCATCCTGGTCCTGCCTTCTTCATGTCTTAGTGTCTTTGCTTTCCTAGTCTGGGGAGCAGGGAGGAGCCCTGTGCTCTGTCCCAGGATCCATGGGGAGGAACACCACAGACAGGGAGAGCAAACGGGGCCATCTGTCACCAGGGGCTTAGGGAAGGCTGAGCCAGCCTGGGCCAAGATGGTGAAAGGGGCTGCCTGGAGGAGGCAGCCTGTCAGCTGGTGCAGCAGGTTAGGGAGGCTGGGAAGGTCTTTTGGGGATGGAGGTGATTTGTCTAAAGGCAGGGGGAGGTGGGAATGGGGAGGTAAGCAAGGCAGCAGCTCTCAGGGCCTGGCTGTCGGGGATGGTGGCGGCGGCAGGGGCCCGGGGCTCCGAGCCTAGGCTGAGGAGAGGCACAGCAGGTCCGGGAAACTGTGTTCAGTTACATGGATTTTACACTCGGCAGCCCGAGTGTTTTGGGGAGAGGTAAGGCAGGCCCGCACATGGGGGTCAGAGAGCCCTCTTAGAGGGATGGCAGCAGTCCCTGGGAAGGCAGGTGCGGTGGGTCTCGGGCTCATGTGGGGCGAGGAGCTGCCCTTGGCCAGGCACTGGCCTCACACAAAGCTTCCTTTACTTCTCCCAGAGGCTGTGGCCAGGTCAGCTGGGCTCGGGGATCACTGGCCTGAGGAGCGCGGGAGCGTCGAGGGCGCCTCGGGCACCATGAGCGACGTGGCTATTGTGAAGGAGGGCTGGCTGCACAAACGAGGTCAGTGCCGGGGCTGGGCCTGGGGACGGAGGGACGGGGGTGCCCGCAGGGTCTGAGTGCCTGTGCCCAGGCCTGCTGGGTGGGACAGGCTGCCCCCCCTGGGGCTCGCGGCTGGCCTAGGGTGAGTATCTGGGGCCCCATGTCTTCCCATAGCTTGGAGGGCCTGGCCTAGGGAGGCTGGGAGGATGAGGCCCCGTGCAGGGCCGGCCATCGGAGTGGTTTCCTGGTGCAGGCCCTCACAGGCAGGGGAGCTGCTGCCAACCTCTCTCCTGGCTTTCCTGGAAGGCCGCAAGGACACTGGGCTGTTCCAGCGCCTGGCATGCTAGCGGCCCGGGGCACTGCCCAAGGGCTCCTGAGGGCAGGGCAGGGCTGCTTGGTTTGGCCTGGTGCCTGCTTCAGGCCTGAGTTTTGGGGGTAGGAGGAATCCATACCACATGGGCACAGGGCATGTTTGCCTTGGAGCTGCAGAGCTGGCTGAGCCCAGGCCCCCAAGCTCCTGAGTCCTCCTCCTCACTGGCCTTGCAGCCCATGGAGGGGGTGCTGGCTCAGGGGCCTGGCCAGGAACTGGTGGGATGGGAGCCGGGGCCACAGCCCCACCCCTTCCAACCCTGTGCTGGCCCTTCTGCCTCGCCCACCCTGCATGCTCAGCGGGGTGCAGAGGAGGCTGGACGGCTGTCTGGCTTCTCTGTCCCGCCGGGCAAGTTCCTGTTCGGGTCCAGGTCCTCTGGACCTGAGGCAGTCACCTCCTGCCCCAGCGTGGGATCAGTCCACCCCTCCTGACTTCTTTTTCCAGACCTGTTCCCTCTTAAGTTGTAGTGATCTCATACCAGCAGCCCACCCCTCTTTACTTACACCCTCTAGCAGATAGGTGTCACATGGGCTAGTGGGGAGACCCCAGGCACAGCTGGAACAGACGGGAAAGTGTGGCAAAAGTGGGTGTCACAAGATGGGGCATTGTGGGATGTGTAGGAGCTCACTGAAGAACAGGCCTGGAAGCCACAGGAGCCTGGGGGTGGGGTGAAGGAGTGACCGAGATGAGATGCCAGGAGTTCAGGGGGTGTGGTCAGCTGTGTGTTTGGAGTGTTTGAGTGGGCAGCTACCAGGATGGCACACAGGGCCTGGAGTCAGAGACAAGGAGCTGCAGTCCTTGGGGAGCTTCTGGCGTGGCTTCCTGCCCAGCATACCTTCTCCATCCCCCGCCCGCGCTGTCCCTGCTTCTTCCCCAGGAGGCCTGTTCCCTGTGCCTGGAGGTGCTCTGTCGCCTTGCCTCACAGCCCTCTGGTGTCGGGGACCCCCTGCTCCTACCTGTCCCTCTGTGTCCCGCATGCCACCTGCTGCTTGGGGCCACTGCTTCCTCATCCTCGGCAAATGTTTGTTTGTTGATGGACTGTTGGATTCAGGGCTGACCCAGGAGATGCCAGGGCCTAGACTGCCCAGGGGCCCAGGCCCAGTTACTGGGGCACCCATCAGCCAGCTGGGCCCAGGCAGGGGTACTTGTCTGAGGCCTGGGTGAGGTTCAGTTTGTTGCTCAGGTCAGGCCTTCGGGAGGGGCCTGGCGGGGACGGGATGTCAGGCCCAGTGGGGCGTCCGAAGAGCCGGGTTTGAGCCCTGTTTGCCACTCCACCAGGGGCAAGTTCATATAGCGCCTCACGCCTCGGTTTCCCCATCTACACCAGGGTGCAGTGGGGGGAGGGGGACCTTGTGGAGTGGAGAATGGCTGGTGGGGTCCTTGAGTTGGGGTCCAGCCAGCCTCTGCAGCCTCCGGGCTCTGTTGCCCGGCCCCCAGCCTCAGGCCAGGAGAGAGGGTCCTGGACCTCTCCCTGCGGCCCTTCCTCCCGTCTTGGATGTGACATATGCCCTTGGCAGGCACGGCCCCTCTTATTGCCAAGAGCAGGCGGGTGCCCACCTGCAAGGCCGGCCCTGCTGGCCGAGGAAAGCCTGTCTTCCAGGGCCTGCCTCGTTTTCCCACTCCCTGTCCCCCCGGGTCCCCTGTGTGTTGCAGATGTGCCCTGCCATCCTGCTGGCAGGGCCAGCGCACCTGCATCACTGGTTGGAGGCACCAGCTGCCTCCCTGTCCCCAGCAGGGCTGTGCTGGGCGGACCCCACTCCTGCCTAACAGTGCTCAGGCCTGGCTGTGGGGAAGGAGGGAGAGATGCGGTGACCGTCCTCCGGCCCAGCCGCAGCCTCTTATAGATGGCTTTGCTGCTCCTGGCCCTTCCTCTCAGGTTAGGGCGCTGTCCCAGACTGCGTCTCCTTCGCCAGGACTCCCCACGGCCATGACCTGGGGCATGTTGGTTCTCAGCTGAATTTCCAGGCGACAGTTCTACCACAGCTGCTTGGGCTGGCCACGAATGGCATGATGGTGCCTTCGGGGGTGCTGTGGCCCCCGAGAGGAGTGGGGGTGGGTATGCCCTGTGTGTGAGCGGCTGGGTGGCAGTGTCTGCAGACCTCAGGCCCTTGGGAGGCAGGTGTCGTCTCAGGAGTGGCCCAGGCTGCTTTCTCTTTGTTCTGATGTGTGTGCTCTGGGTCAGAGGAGCTTCTGGGGTGGAAGGGACCTGGCATGGGGACACGGGTGTTCCAGCTCCAGGCTTGTGTGGACCTGTGGCTGGATTCAAGCGAGGCCTCTGGGCCTGACTTCGAACAGGGAGGTGGTTCCTGGAGGGTGAGCTCAGGCTGCTGAGGGCACGGCTGGTGAGGAGGCTGGCAGGGCCTGTAGGGACGGGGCTGGACGTCCCCCCGTGTCGGCTGTCCCAGGATAAGCAGCTGCAGCTCAGCTGCGGCCATCGGTGGCTGGGCCTGGTGGGCTCTGTGCTACTCAGATGTTTGTGTCTTCAAAGATTTGTTCTGTTGTGTGAACTCTCCTGCTTTTTGAAGTTTGACAGTTTAAAGAAGTCAGCCCCGGGCCAGGGCGCAGGTCTGGCTGAACTCCGCCTGCAGTCTCCTTCCTTGGGCAGCTCTTTTGAGGGACTCTCCTCCAGCAGCTTGCTCACCTCGCCCACTTGCCCCAGTGCTCCTGGGGCCCCACACCACCCTGGCTGCTGCCCGGCCCCGCAGAGAGCTGCCCTGTTCCAGCCCTGGGGTCCTGTCCTTGTCCACTTGCAGTTGTCTTCCTGAGTCTCCCTAGACTACTTGGCTGGACCAGGTGGGTCAGGAGAGGGCAGAGGAGGGTGGCTGGGACACCGGGGCCCAGGATGAGGGTCTCTGGGCTGTTGAGAAAGGCCTGGGCCTGGGCCTGGCCCGGGAGTGGGTGCTGGCCGCAGGGGCACCTCTTGGACTCCCTCGGGCTGCCTGCCACCTGAGAGGGACCTGGGGAAGAGCTGCAGGCCTGGCAACCTTTGACAGGCCGTGACCCGGCGGGCCAAGGCCGAGTGGGCGGGATTGAGGGAAGCTGTCTGTGGGTCTGTGCGGCAGATGCTCCTGAGTGCATGTGAGAGGCGTGTCCAAGCCATGCATCTGCATGACTGGCTGGGCCCGGGCAACATGGGACCTTGTATTCCTGCAGCTCATGGAGCATCAGGACACCTGAGTCCTTGCCGTGCCCCAGCCCAGGCCCATGCCTGGCACAGACCCCGAAATCCAGGCCTCTAACCGCTCCTGCTGAGTTAGCCCCAGGCATCCCAGTGGGGAGTATGGAGGCGGGTCCGTGACCCCAAGCAGGTGCCTGGGCCGGGCCTTCTTCCCACCCCCTCCCCGCTTCTTGAGGTCCTGGCACTGGCTGTCCCCATGTGGGCACCGAGGCGGGAGAGGGTGGCTTCACCCCACGTGTTACTCCGTGTCGGTGAGTGGACAGACCCCCACTGTATCCCCAGCTGCCGCTCAGCCAGCCAGCTTGTCCTGGGGTCCCTGTATGAGGTGGGGCGCAGCCCACTCCCTTTCACCCTGGAGGAGGCCTTGGCTTTGCTGAGTAAACACCGGTGAGAAGGAGGGTCGGGGGGGGCTCCAAGCCCACTCAGATCAGCTGCTAGGGGGTCCCCCGGGCTCATTGTTTGTGTATAGATGGAGGCTGCTCCTTACCCCTTGGGATGAGGGCCCCGGCAGGACCCTGAGTAGGGGCACGGACCTCCCCTCAGCCTGTGGGAACCTTGTGGGCTCCAGGCCACAGCTGTCTGTTCCTCCTGGGCCTCAGTTTCCCAGGCTGTCAGTTGAGGGTCAGCCCCAGGCTGTCTGAGTGGCTTCAGTCTGACTCCTATGGTGCTCTGCTGGTTAGTGCCAAGCTCCGCATCCCTGGGGGAGCACTGAGGGTCCCCAGTGGCCCCTTCAGGGAGGGCTGGGCAGAGGGTGGGAGTCCCGACAGCCCTAGACCCACCCGGGTGTGGGGCAGGAGGCACAGTCTGGTGGAGGTCATGGCCTGGCTGTGGTGGAGGCCGCCGGCATTGGGGAGGTTCCTGTTTTGGGAGCTCGTTGAGTTCTTCAAAAACAAAAAAAGAGGAAGCTGAGGTGGCCTTGAGTGGGGGTGCCAGGTCACCACTGGCCCCAGCCCTGGACCTCAGCCCCATGCCTGGCAGTTCCTGAGTGGGCGGCTCTTCCTCCATCAGCTTCTTGGTTGCTGGCCCTCTCTGGGCGGGAATGCCCTGTGGGGGCGGACTCCGGGGAACGGGAAACTGAGGCCAGGAAGGAGGGGACAGAAGGTGGGAGGCTCAGCGCCTGTGCCGGCGCCCAGGCCCTGCACACCTTCCGCTGTCAGCGGCGGCTCGGCTGGGTTGCATCAGGCCGGGTTCCTAGAAGTCCTGGGGAGGGCCAGCGGCGGGAACTGGCGTGGCCGCTGCTGGCGTCCCCTCTGCCTGGGCACACCCGGCCCGGCTTGGGGCCAGCACCCTGCCCTCGGGCCCTCCCGTGCTGCAGCCTGGCGGCTGTGGCTCTGGACCTGCTCCCCAGCCCGCAGTGGGTGGGCAGACGCCTGCTGCTCCTGCAGCTCGGACCACCTGGGCCCAGTCCCAAGGCCTCAGGAGAAGGTTCCCCCAGCCTGAGGCTGGGCCCTGGGCAGGTTGGCAGCCGACCCT